TGACAGATTAGTACCATGGTAGCTAAAAGCTTCTGAAAGTTAAATAAGCAACTTTTTTCTTGTGAACAGAACTTTTCCAGTTTCTTTTAACTTAATTTTATTTTTTTTTCTAACTGTACAACAAAATCATTCATTATTCTGGCACTCACTCTTTTTTTCAATAGCACGAAGACCCTTGGCTAGTATAGAAAACATTTTACTGTTAATACATGAAAGTTCATATTGTGGAATTGAGAATATTAAATATAGTAGAATTGAAAGCAATAATGATTTAAGATTTGAAAAAGATATAGAAAATGAACTTAGTTTTGAATGTGAAAAGGATACTGAAGATGGACCTGCAATTAAACATAAAAAGGATACTGAAGATGGACCTAGTATTGAACCTGAAGATGGATCTGGTATTGAACTTGAAGAGGACATTGATATTATTAGTGAATCAGATGATACTTCTAAAAATACAGATAATTATCAACATGGGCACCTACCTCCAATCCACATTGAGATCTACTGTGGAAAAACCTTTGGAACTTGAAAAGACATTAGAATATTACACACGTCAAAATAACTTTGCGATCAGAAAAAAATGAGTAGATAATAGCTGTGATCCACGACAGCATACCTGGGACTGTGAACGGTCTGGTAAATATGTCTTACGTAAAACTGCTCTACCCGAAAAGCAAAGAAATAAGGGTTCAAAAAAGATTGGTTGTCCTTTTCTGGTGAATGCGTACAAGAGTAAGGGCTCTGATAATGAAACTATAATTAAATTGACATCGATACATCCTGAACACGACCATCAGTTGATTCCTAAAAATGTTAGCTTTGCTACTAGCTATCGGAAACTTACCACAGATATGAAGGAGCTTATTGAAAGTTATACAATTTGTAACATTGATGTCTCATCCCAGGTTTGGTTACTCTGTGGGTTATTTCCTGATACCACAATTGCGGACTATGATGTGAAAAACTACGTGTATAAGATTCGTCGTACTCATGATATACAGGGGTATGATACCGCAAAGCTTTTCCAATACTTTGAAAAAGAACGTACCAAGAATCCTGATTGGTATGTTCAATCATTAATTGATCCAGAAACAAATAGATTACAAGGTGTATTCTATATGACCCCTGAACAATAAGAACTTTGGCGACATTATGCAGATATTATTTTAAATGATAATACAGTAGCGACCAACATCTATAAACTGCCATTAAGCATTTTTGCTGTTGTAGATAATAATTTCAAATCATGAATTATTGTACAGACAATATTGCCCAATGAAACAAGTGAAAGTTATAGATGGGTTCTATAGCAAACAATTGAAGCTACAGGAGTTCAGCCCGAAGCTTTTATGATTGATGCAGATCCAGGCCTTGAAAGTGTTGTTCCCAAAATATAACCTGATACCTACCTTCTCCATTGTGTTTGGCACATTGGGCGTAATATTGAAAAGCAGCTTGCAAAGCTTCTTGGTGATCATTATGCAGACTTTATCAAAGCATTTTATCGTGCTCGAAATGTTTTATATAAAGAAACATTTGAGGAATACTGGAAACAACTTATGATTGATTTTCCAGAATCAACTGAATATCTACTTAGACAGCTTAATCCACATAAAACAACCTGGGCAAAAGCATTTACAGGTCGGGTTTTTATAGCAGGGATAATGTCTACCCAACGATCTGAATCAATAAATAGTGCAATCAAACAGACTGTAAATGAAAGAACTCAACTTCATATTCTGTTTAACTGAATTGAATCACGTATTGCAGAAGAACAATTTGCTAGTCGGTTTGCGGCTTGGCGTGAAAAGACAGCATCATATATGATACCAAGTGTTTCTAGACAACTTTTCTCTAATATATATAATATTCTGCAAAAGTATGTGATGTCTAAAATTTTTTAGTTACATACTGATCAAATGAATGAAGCAGTAATGTATCGTAGCAAAAGGGTTAGTTTTGAGGATCTATATAATTTAATATTAGAGGTTGTTGATAATAGGCTGATTGAATTTGAGTATAATTTCTGTCAGATATAGTTTGACAAACTTCTTGAAGGGGTTGATTATTCCTTAGTTGCTGAAGTTTGGGATGTTCAATCAATCGAACATAATTTACATGTTGAACAGAATGTAGTGCTATTAAAAAATAGATTTCATTTATGCATATACATTTTATTATTTGATAGTGGAGTAGTTTGCTATTATTGGTTTTGTGTTCTTTTATAGTCTGAAAAGGCCTATTTTCATATTTCTCTTATTCCAAGACGTTGGTACAAAGATGAATTTATAGACACGGTGGTTGCTAATGAACTATTTGTTAGAAACAAATCATTAGAAAAGAACAGTTCAACACCATCCTTATCTTTTTTTCTGGATGTTGCTGATTCGTGGAATACAGATAAACAAATTGTCTATATTATTAATACAGTTATTATTTTTACATTAGAATACAGAATTCACAATATAGTACTTTCACATACCATATACAACAATATTCTATCCAAATATCTTACAATAGCTAAGCACAAATCTCACCTTGCAAAGTTAATTCCAAATAGTACTATGCTAAACCTATACCTATACAATATTCACAATATTTGGAACATTTAACTACAACATTATATAACTAACTTTCTTCAACGCTTAAATAGTTCCCACCTTTTAGGAACCACTACTTGCATTAGACTACAACAATTACAAAACAATCTGTAGTCAACTTTTAA